GGGCCGGGCGCGGGCGCTGCTGCTGCTGCCGCTGCCCCAGGCCTACGGCCCAGGTGGGTGCGAGCCGGGCCCTGTGGGGTCGGGTGGGGCGGGCCGGAGCTGCTCCCTCGCTACCTCTGGCCCTGTGAACGCCTCCCGGAGCTGCTGGGGAACTTCGGAGTTGCGGAGAGGTAGCTCAGTGGCTCCCTCCTCGTGTACGCCAACTTGGAAACACTTCTGGGGTTATTTAAAGTGCCGGCTGCACGGACTCCATGCTTTCTACTTTCCGCCCTGTCTCGTTTCTTGCCTTCCTAGCCACTTCCCTTAAGAAAGGAGGAGGGGAGGAAACCAGTCAGGGTCGCTTCTTTCTAACCTCTTAAAAAGCCTTTTCCAGGGGAGGGAGTGTGTGTGTGTGTGTGTGTGTGTGTGTGTGTGTGTGTGTGTGTGTGTGTATGAGTTACTTAGGCGGAGATTTGGGGAGCAAGTCTTGTGTGTCACGTTTGATTACGTTCGTTCACCCTTTTCAGTTGAGTTTACTTCCTAGGAGTCAGCCACCATCTGTTTGTTCCTTTCCATCCGTACGCAGTAGCCGTTCGTCTTAGTTTTAAAACGCCCGAGGTTTTAAACACTGAAAACAAAACCAAGTCTGTGGCAGTTCGTCGTCGTGGCTCACACAGACGTGGTTTTGAAATTAAAATTATTAACAGTAGTAAGTTAGAATGCTAACTTTACCTCGCAGCTGGCTAGCTGACGAGTAGTATTAAAAGATGAACCTTGTATTTCGGTTTTAGGTCTGTCGGGAAAACGTATACTGGTTTGGAGACTAGGATTCGGGTTTCTTGTGGCAAAGTTGGAGTTTGTGAAGAACAGACTATTGCAGATTTAAGTACCGACGTTAATATGGACAGGATTCAGAGGCAGAGCCAGGCGGATCTCTGCGAGTTTGAGGCCAGCCTGGTTCACAGAGCGAGATCCAGGACAGGCACCAAAACTACACAGAGAAATCCTGTCTCGAAAAACAAAAAAAGATTGACAGAGCAGAGGAAGCTGGAGAGCAGGGAAGCAGTGTTTCCTCTAGAATGCAGGCAGGTACTTCTCAACGAGTTGGCTGAAAGTCATTATTAATCAGATCGGGAGAAAAGAAAAAATAATAATTCTGAGTGGTGTAGTGAAGCACAAATTTCTGAACTTTTGATAGGATTTTTGGATACATGAGTTCAATTTTTTTTTTTTCCTGAGAAAATTTTTGAGTTCTGTCTATGTGTTAAAGCCTCACATGGCCTTTACCTGTATGCAGACGTTATCATCTTGTGGCCAGGTCTGTATTAACCCATTGGTTGGATACTCGGAACTAAATCTAAGAGGCCCTTCCTTTGCAAACCCTTCAGGTGTATCTGAAAGATAAACACTAGGGCTGGGGCACCACAGAAATGTAACAGACTACAACCACAGCCGGTAAGCACTAAGGAATAGGAGCTGCTTGCTTCCTTTCTTCCTTTCTTTCTCTCTTTCTTTCGGTTTTTCGAGAAAGAGTTTTCTCAGTGTAGCTTTGGCCTCGAACTCACAGAGATCCGCCTGCCTCTGCTTCCCGAGTGCTGTGATTAAAGGCGTGAGCCACCACTGCCCGGCTAGGTGCTGGTTCCTTACCAATATTCAGCTAGTTTCTATCCCACCCCCCAGCCTCTTCTAAGGTGTTAAACGGTGACTCACATAGCTTTGTCTGGCCTCCAACTCTGTGTGGCCAAGGGCTACCTTGGACCTTCAGATTGTCCTTCACTTCTTAAGCTCTGGAATTGTGGGGATGGGCTATCTCCTAGGACTGGTTTCTTGGTGGTGGTGGTGGTGGTGGTGGTGGTGGTGGTGGTGGTGGTGGTGGTGGTGGTGGTGGTGGTTTTTTAAAGAAAAAAAAATCCTTTTCAATTTGTTTGGTTCAGGAGTATACAAGCTTAGATTTAAAAATACAAATTTATATTATTCAATCCCAATTTTTACTTTCTAGGCTCTCTAGTGATAGAGAAAAGCCATCGGGATGGGAGATACTAATTTTTGTCTGTGGTTTTAGTGAAGATTGGTTGCTACCGATTTCCACAGGTAGTGTCAAGAGCCTGTTGTCAAATGGTTAGTTTGTTAGTAAACAAATAGTGGCACTGGGTCTCCTCCTCTTCCAGTGATCTGTGCTTCACTTTTGGCTCCTCTTGAAGGGAAATGATAGCAGTGTAGTTTCAAAACATTCATTTCCCTGTTCCAGTGTGGAGTTGGTCCAGTGTGGAGTTGGTCCAGTGTGGAGTTCCAGTGTGGAGTTCACGTTGCATGTTCTGCTGCTTTACCCAGCGCTTTGCTTAGGTGCCCTCAGCTTGTACTAAAAAATCTGGTGCTTTGCTCTTATGACTAGAATTGCTTGGCTTTTAAAAGGCTTTTATATCTTATATGAGGTGTTAGGGCTGGGGAAGGCAGTTCCACAGCTTCCTGAGTTTTCCTTTTATAAGATGAGCTATATCTGATCTTAGGTTCTTCTTGAGGACTCCTGGTTTAGAGTTTGTCATCACACCCGAGGCTTCTCACAGGCTCTGCTAAGCCAGTCTGTTTCTGTCCAGGTAGAAGTAGGTGAGAAGTGAGCAGCAGCTGGATAGATTACTTGATTGTTCCTGTCCATGGCCTTATGTTGAATCCTTATTTTAACTTTTTAGCCATTCAGTATTGGGTTTCAATCTTATTTATCTGATTTTTACATGTATGGCATATGTTTGATTAGATTAGCAGCTGAGATTGTTAAGACTATCTGTATCTTTGAATTCTGGAATTCTATTTGTGCTTGTATAATTCTGAGAATGAGCTTTCCCAGAAAGTGCTTAGCAAGTTTCTTTGGTTCTTTTTTATTGACTGAGGAAATGTGATGAGACAAAAGGTAGGATTCTGTATTTACAATGAAACAAAAGATGAGGCAGTATTTCCATTTATTTCTGTAACCTCCCCTGTCACCCAGTGTTCATGGTAGTGTATAGGATTGTGCATTCTTTAGTGATAGTCTGTTATTTCTGTGTACAGTACAGTGGATGGTCTCTCACTGATTATATGTAAAGGGGAGCAAGGATCCAGATTATCTGCTTTTTAAAAAAACACAAAACAAAACAGTTCTTCATCCCCCGCCCCCCATCTGTTTAAAGGTAGTAACTAAGTATTGTAGATTTTTTCACTTTAAAAGGAATCTTATCTGTTTACCTTGATTAATGGGATAAAAACAATCTCTTCTCAAGCCTCCTAGATACAACCCTCTTCCAAATACAGAGGGAAAGGAAAACAATTTTTTTCTTTCATTTATCTGAAATCATCTATCATGGAAGTCAGGATGTTATTTAATAAATAGGCATTTGGGAGCCGGCGTGTTAAAAAGCCGTCCTTCGCTTTTAACTACCAATGTTGCTCTGTAATTATGGACAAATTCCTCCCTTGTGGGTGTTCTGCCTATCGTATACAGTGCCTAACCTTAGATGATGCTTTAGTGCCTGGTATTCATGCAGCCAGGTATAATCAGCTTAACAGGATGTGTGTAATATAGGAAGTGTGATTTGTGGGGCTGGAGAGATGGCTCAGTGGTTAAGAAGAGCACAGTGAAGCCTGCCGGTGGTGGCGCACACCTTTAATCTCAGCACTCCAGGCCAAATCTTTGAGTTGGAGATCAGCCTGGTCTATAGAGTGAGTTCCAGGACAGCCAGAGTTACCTAGAAAAAGAACAAGGGGGGCTGGAGAGATGGCTCAGTGGTTAAGAGCACTGACGGGTCTTCCAGAGGTCCAGAGGTCCTGAGTTCAATTCCCAGCAACCACATGGTGGCCCACAACCACTTGTAATGAGATCTGGCTCCCTCTTCTGGCCTGCAGGGACACATGCAGACAGAATACTGTATACATAATAAATAAATCTTAAAAAAAAAAAAAAAAAGAACAAGGGGGAGGGGTAGCATAGTGTTCTGGCAGACAGCCTTAGTTCAGTTCCCAGCACCCATAACAGGTGACTCACACTCACTACCTTTAACTCCAGCTTGCTGGAATCAGATCCTTCCTCTTCTGATCTCCTGAGGCACTGTACTTCACTCCACTCATGGATAAACACCCCCCCCCATCTACATAAAACTAAAAGTAAAGCAGAAAATGTGAACTATTTAAGGAATTTGTTCCAGAAAGATCTGTGATTGTGGGGCATTATCAGTACAAAGCCTTCCCTAAAAGAAGTTGAGCATCTTTAATTGGAGAAGCCTGAAATCCCAAGTACTTCAAAAATCCAAAAAGTTTTCAGTACCAGTTTTCAGTTCCACACTTGATCTCATGTAATGTGTTAGTTGAAATGAGGGTGTGCCCAAAACAGTGTATAAACTTGCCTTCATACTGGTGCTTTTAAGATATATATGAAACATAAGTGACTTAGTGTTTAGATTTGTGTGCATTCCCTTTTGTGTGTATTCAGATACTGTAAAATCTGAAGTCTAAAATTTTTCTGGTTCCTACCCTTTGGATAAGGAGAAAATTTGTAGCTCCCATATTATGATTCACCAATCCATTCTTGCATATATTTGATTGATTGCATATATTTAAAAAAAAACAATTTATATATGTTTAGAAGGTAATAAAAAGGAAAACATGCATAATCTAATAATTTTCTTGGTTTAGCTTTTTAAATTTTTTTATTTATTTATGGGTGCATGAGTGAGAATGTGCACCTCAGAGGCCAAAAGTAGTGCATGGGATCTGCTAAAGTTGGAGTTAGAGGTGCTGCCTGACATTGGTGCTAGGAATCATCTCTAATCCTCTGTAAGAGCAGCAAACCCTGAGCTACCTCTCCAGAC